TAATATTCAATACCTTCAAAAAAATTATCAATGCCTGACATATATGTACCATATATATTACTTCATTTTTTATAATTCGGTACTTTTTAATTTAATTCTAATTATTTTATTTCAAAATATTTTGCCTTACTACCATTTAATCAACTTCAATCAATATAAGAATTGAGGTACAGCAACTTTTAAAACTGTGATGATAAAATTGTGTAATTTGGTCACGATTTATTATTTCGAAGTTATAATAAATTTTATAATTAAATCACGTTTCCTAGGCCTATAATATTTTAGGGCCCTGATTTCCAAGCTATGAGGCGCGCATATAATATTTATATTTTTACATAATGTTGCATATCATTTTGTAGTCTGATTATTAACTTCCCGAAGGAGAAGTTTATGTTTTCATCAAAAAATCCGATTCTCTAATTTTACGTTTTCTCGACGTTTCAAGCTATTCTGAATCGAATAAGACCAAATTTGGAAAAAGTATGTGTGTGTGTGTGTGTGTGTGTGTATGTGTGTGTGTGCGTGTATGTGAACAGATTTTTTGCCGTAAATCGACGTTTTCTCGAAAACGGCTGGGCCGATTTCAAAAATTTAAAAGCCATTCGATGTATCTCGATGAGTACTATTGTTTGTCAGTTTTGTGCGACGATCGGCCAAGCCGTTTCTTTATAAATCGCAGAAAAGTGAAAAATTTTTCGTCTACGTTTTAGCCCGCAATTCTGAATCGATTTTGAAAATTCAAAAACTGTTCGAAAGATATTGGTTGGGAATCGTGCTGATTAGTTTTTGGCAGAGATCGGCCGGGCCGTTTTCTTTTAATAAAGTTTTTAAAAAAAAAAATTCGACGATTTTTATGATTATTTTTTTGGCGGTAGATACCATAGTCTTCTAGATCATACTAAAATATTACGGCTCTACGATAACTGGTTCAGCTTTAAAAATTCGTCAAAGTTTGCAAAAATTGGTATTGTTTTTTTGGCATTTGTCAGAATCAGACCTTTGATCAACGTTTTCTCAAAAACGCCTGAACCGATTTCAGAAATTTAAAAGCCATTTGATGTATTTCGATGAGGACTATCGTTTGTCAGTTTTGTGCGACGATCTGCCAAGCCGTTTCTTTGTAATTTGAAAAAAAGTTTTGAACTTTTCGTCCACATTTAAGCTCATCCTACCGAATCGATTTTAAAAAATCAAAAACTGTTCGAAAGATATCATTTGGGAATGATGCTGATTAATTTTAGGTGAAAATCTACCGAGCCGTTTTCTTGTAATTAACTGTTGACAAAAAGTGTTAAATTTGCGTCGACATTTAAGCTCATCCTACCGAACCGATTTTAAAAAATCAAAAACTGTTTGAAAGATATTAGTTGGGAATGGTACTGATTAATTTTAGGTGAAAATCTACTGAGCCGTTTTCTTGTAATTAACTGTTGAAAAAAAGTGTTAAATTTTCGTCGACATTTAAGCTCATCCTACCGAACCGATTTTAAAAAATCAAAAAGGTTGGTCGTGAAATGACCAACAAATTCTTTACTTTAATCAAGTTATAATAATTATCATCGTTTTCTACAATTTAAAAAAATAATGAAGCCTCTGCCTAGAAAATATACTTTGTCTCCAAGGTCGTGATATGATCAAGAAATTCTTTACTTTAATCAAGTTATAATAATTATCATCGTTTTCTACATTTTGGAAAAATAATCGTATGCGTCGATACAATTTTGTCACAATGAGAACCACTTATGTATACAGATTATTATATTAAAAATAATAAAAAAGAATAAAAAATATTTTTTCTTATAATCAATGATAGTGATAAATATAAATTTCTTAATAATTAAAAAATAAAAAAATATTGTTAAAGGCAGATCAAGTTGCTTATTTTAAAATTGGAATGATTAAGTATATTATTTACACATTTCGGGAAGTTCATGCAACTTGCCTTCAGGCTAAATGCACCTTCAACTAGTTAAATTATTATATCAGTTGAGTATTTATGAAATAAATTTGTTAAAAAAATTAAGGGAGGAGCAACATTTTTTTATAAGAAATGGGGAAAAAGGTTGGAAATTACTGTTTTAGGGTGTTTGTTTCGAACACGCACAAACTCTATCATCATAAAAATGTTTTATCAAAATTGTTAAAAATTAAATTCTACAATTAATAACGAATGAAACGACCAACCGATCTTTACCAAAGACCTGCAAAAAGATAGCAAGTATTTCAAGGAAGAGTCTTATTATACAGAAGTTGACTCAATAAAGTTTCGCCAAAAATAGATGATATTCAATTCAAATTTCATAGTAAACCAATCAAAAATAATAAAATTATATTAGATGTAAAAAACATTAAAAATCTGTATTGAGAGTACATCAAATTGATTGAAGTTTTTAATAAAAGCTCTATATATAGAAGTAATCCAAAAGTCAAAAATAAAGATATTTAAATTCAATATTACAATTGAAACATAACGTGCATTACTGTTAAACAGCAAATGACAAATACTGATATAAAATATTTTTGTACAGCAAATGACAAAAAATCCTTCAACGTTTTAATTTATGAATACCGTAAGCATTTTAATATAACTTACAAGTTTTAGATATAATCTGTTAAAATGCACAAATTTCAAACGAAAAGGGTATGAATTAAAAACTGGAGAGTTGAAGGAAACTCGAGGAACTAGGTTCTTGTATACTACAATCTCAAATACTTAAGGGAAACATAACTATATTATTTTTATTATTTAAATACGTCAATCACATAAAAATATTTTCTTTTATCAATTTTCTTCATGTTTTTCTGTTATAATTATGTACTATAAGTGTTTTTTTGTTCTAGATCCAAATATGTAACAGCTACGGAATTCTACGGAAGCAAAATAGCTTTCTATATACGCTTAATTCATGCAACATCATAATTTTATTATCTTTCTTCTCTCCAATAAAATGGCAATAAGTACGGTTTTTGGCTGTTACAACTGTGCCACCTCTTATATTATGTAAACCCTAACCAAAATTCTAATTGTGAGGTTGTGCAAGTGCCTACGGTTGGTTGGTTTTATCACTTTTAGAAAAAAAACTTAAGAAAAATAAGATTAACTTACAAATGCAACCAATTGGATCTGAATTGTCTACCATCTAGTGAAAACAATTGGTACTATTATTAAGTTAAATTAAATTTTATACTCTTCTTTTATCTATGATTTTATAATAGTGCCCTAAAATCATTTTCTTATTATATATGATGAGATTTTAATGACCATAATTAAAATCAAGGAGTTGTTAAGAAGAAGATAATTATCTAAATTATTTTCAAACTGATCGAAAAAATCTGTTACAATGATATTATTCATAGATAAAGTCATGCATTAATTGGGAATTTTCTTGTCAAGCAAATTACCAAAATACCAATACCAAAGTCCCTAGATTAAAAGTTCTGTGGATACTAATTAAAATGCTGGATGATGAACTAATTGAACCGTCTGATAGTAAAGTGACGTATTGTTATAGATTGTCAAAAGCTAAATAATACCGCGATAGAATCAAAGAGTGCTAAGTGTCACTGTATATTAGATACAATTGATAGGAAGTTTATGTAGTTTACAATATTGGTATTTAGATTATCATCAAAATATCACCAAGAAGCTTCGCATCCAGAGGATAAGAAAATTGCAATTTTCCATGCAGAAATTGCTCGTGATCATTTAAACAGGGTAAGTTTTCAAAAGGTTTCAAAAGTTAATGTATACTGAATTGTCGGGACTCAACAAATTACATTTATTTTGTTATCTGGATAATATTATTAGTCACTGTTTTTTGATCATTAAAAAAGCAAACAAGAAATTAAATTTCGAAAATTGAGTAGAGAAAAGGTAATTTGAAACTTGTACCAGGTAAATACAATTTTATGTGGAAAGAAATTTCTAAAAACATATCATTTCGAAAATTAGATGACTTGAATAAGCAAATTTAGTCTCTCTCAACGAAAAAATGTGAGGAATAAATAAAAGTATTAATGAAAACATATTAAAGAAAAGTATTGTGGATATTCGCAGATCTTTTTATGTAGCATTTTCCACAAGTTTTAATTATAATATTTAATAATTAGAAAGCTATCGACTCGGTTGTTTAGTAAAAGGATCGACTAGAGTTTGTTTGACCTCTATATATTTGATGATTCATTCAAACAAAAGTTGTTTGTGATAAAAATGAATGTCAATTTTTTTCGGACTTGCGATTTTGATAAAAAAAAAATGCAAAAAAATCGATTAGTCGTTTTTGATAATAATTCATATAAATAAGATTAATTATTGAAGGAATACAATCTTCCAAGGCTGCGTAGAAATAAGTATATGACATAATTCGACAAAATCAGGTGAGTGGTGTTGTATCATATCAAATAGTGACATATTCCTACGGATTAAAAAGTTTGATCAGTGTTTCTCATCGTATAAAAATGTTGACAAACACTGCTTCAGTTCAAGTTGAACAATACTAAACGTTGGTACATACGTTCAGGCATATAAAATACAAAGTTTCAGGCATATACTTATTTATCTATGAGTTCAGGCTTTTACAACTTTTTCCTACATTTTCATAAATAACGATATCAAAAATGCATCGTTAAAAGCGATTTTAGTATAGTATTTTATTTATTATATGTTTAATTGTTATAGTTTTATTTTGACAATTATAATTAAAGCCTTATATTTATATTAATATTCTCGAGATTATTTCAAAAGTGAAAATGAAATTTGACAATATGAAAGTCATGGATAAAAGCAAAAAAGATTTCGTTAAAAGAAATATTCGATAACTGCACTCTCGTTCTATAGTTTTTATCGGATTGAGTAAATGATTTTGCGTCGGATATCTTACTTCGCATTTTGTGTACAAATGCTTTTGAAATATCATTATAGATATCGATAATTCGATAACGAATATTGATATTTGGTCAGTTTAGTCTAATCTCGTATGACATATTTTGCGCACCGCTAGTAAATAAAGCGTGATTACAAAAAACATAATGAATGATACTATAATATTCTGACAGTGCCTACTCTTCTTGGAAAATGACTTGCAATTATTAGACAGCGCCTGTCACAGTAATAATTTTATATGACATAACCGGAGTTTATCAATTAAGTAATATTACATGTTCGCTATTGTCTTTGAGAAAACAATCTAATAGTTTATTTACGTATGAATTCGGTTTTTAATCATTTAAATATATCTATAAAACATTGTTTTTGTGATAATTCAGTGTTTTATTATATATACTATATGATATCATTCAATCATTGACTGCACCTCTAATTTTTTTTTTGTTTTTATGCTTGTTTAGGGCTTACAGTTTATATTGCTGTCAACACACAGAACTCTCATAAAATATTGAAAGTATTTATGTAAATAATACAATGGGATTGCTAACTGAAGGAAGACCTTTGACATGGGAGGAAACAAAGTCTTATTCTAACCATGTTCGTGAGCATGGTATTACACAATTCATAAATTTGTATAAGAGGCTTCGTGATAGACAAGGCGATGTTTTGAAATGGGGAGATGAGGTAAATATTAAGAGTAAAGAGAAAACTTTACTTATATAACAATTTATGTAATAATCATTCATTCTAGGTGGAATACGTACTTGTTAAATTTGATGATGAGAAAAAGGAAGCAAAAGTATCGCTGCGTGCGCAAGAAATATTGACACAGCTTAATGAGAAAGAAGCAATAGATGTTGATGGTAAGAGAATTAATTTTAAAAATAGGTTTTACTCTTAAAATAAATACAGTTTTAATATTGATGGAAATCTACTATATTTATACATACTTTATAAGACATTGCATGAGAAATATTTAATTTTAATTATGATACTTTGTTATGTTAAGAGTAAAACTGTTTATTGCCTGATTTAATAATCACTCTTGGCATTCTATTATTATATTTGTTATTTTATTAAAACAGGAGTGAAATCATTGTGGAGACCTGAATATGGAGCTTATATGATTGAAGGAACACCAGGAAAGCCTTATGGTGGTCTATTAGCGCATTTCAATGTAGTAGAAGCTAATATGAAGTACAGACGAGAGGAAGCAGCCAGTTTGTTACCAAAGGGTGAAGTCCTCATGTCCCTTACAAGTTTTCCTAGGTAAACTTATATTATTATGTTATAAAGATTTTAATAACGGTAGTATTGTACATAAAAAATTGTGACTGGATTTAAAACTGCGAAGTGTAATTTAAGTATTACACCTTTTGAAAATATTTAGTTTCAATAATGCTTTATTCATTTATAGGCTCGGCTGTCCGAAATTTACATTTCCTGAGTATGATCCTACACCTGATAGTGAAGAAGGTGCTTCACAATCATATTTTTTCCCAGATGAAGCTATATTTCCAGGACATCCAAGATTTAAAACATTAACAAAAAATATAAGGCAGCGAAGAGGAGAAAAAGTAGCCATAAACTTGCCAGGTCTGCCAATTATAATTACATTCTATTAACAATTAGCGATTTTAGTTATTAATTAGATACCTGTTTTTCTATATTTACTGCTTTCATAATAAAAAAAAACAGATGTAATCCAAGCATTAGTTTGAATAATATATTTGTTCACCATGATTATTGCTTGTGAGAATTTTTCTAGAAACAGAGTCAGATATTGTCTATTATACTTTGTATAATTACTGAATTATTTTTAATTATTATATTTATACAATATTTTGCAAGTTAATAGTTTGTAGTAGAATTTAATTTCAGTTACAGTTGACATTTCTATATAGCTGAATTGTAATATCATAATATTTTAATTCCAGTGTTCAAGGACACAAATACTAAAGATCCTTTGAGTGGATGTGATTACAAAACCACACGTGCCATTAAGGACTGTGTTTATATGGATGCAATGGGATTTGGTATGGGATGTTGTTGCTTACAGTTAACTTTTCAAGCATGTAATATCAATGAAGCACGAACATTGTATGATCAGCTAACACCCTTGTGTCCAATTATGGTAATTTCTATTATTGTTGTTTACATAAAGGTATACACTATATATCTGGGATGAACTACGCTAGTTAACAAATGTTTTTGTTTGAAATTTGGCTTTCAGTGACGTCTATTTGCAAAGTATTTAAGACAAGTTGAATAACAATTTAAGAATCACTTGGTGCTTTTTAAGTGGAATCATTATTTTTTCATTTATTCTCACATATTATATATTCGGCATTACAAATACATTCCAGTAACTATTTTATTTGAAATTTGAATACCTTCTATATCTTATATTCTATAATATTTGAGATAAGATATTTCACACATTTCTTTTTCAAGATTTTTCGAAACTCTTATTATGAAGACTTAAATGTATAGGTGAGGGTGATATAAATAATATATATGTGATGTATATATATACTCTGAGAAAGTTAATGTTTTTGACTAAAGTGAAATCACTAATTTTGTTTTCATATTTGTTTTGTTATTACTTGGTATCAATGTTAATCTATACTATTACATTTTACCAATAGTTACTTTATTAGATAGTAGTTATATTTGATGTTTTGACTTATTTATATCTGATCGAAAATCAAAAAATGCATATATAATGGA